CTCCTTGATATCAGATGGGCTTGATATCAGATGGGTGCATGTGAGCACCGTCGGGGTATGCATTAGTCCTTTCAACTGAAAATCTGAAGTCATGCTCACCCTTGCCGGAGGGATGATAACCTCGGGCTAATCCCTCGGGCTTAAGAGCGCTGGATCTCACCTTATTTGCCGTGCACATTAGTGCATTTAACGACGATATACAGTTTCTTTCGCAGGATGGTTATTTCAACGTGAGAAGATGTTTCGTAATATTGGGTTGGAAAGAAAGTCTTGCAACACTGCGCAAATTTTTCAAAAAGTAATAACTTTATTGAAATGCAATTTCAGTCTACATTGTAATGACCATTGTTGTCTATGACATGTTCCCAACGCACGGGTAACTGCTCGATGCCCTTTGCCCAGAACTCTGGCGATTGCGAAACGAAGAAACGGCCGACATCATTTTCGAGCTGTGCTCGATCGTCGAAGGCCTTGTCCCGTAGGTGATTCTTGAGGGCCCGGAACAAGTGATAGTCGGAAGGGGCCATGTCCGGAGAATACGCTGGATGGGGTAAAACTTCCGAGCCCAGTTCCAAAATTGTCTGGCGAGTCATCTTTGCAACATGTGGACGAGCGTTGTCATGCAGAAGGAGAACTTTGTCGCGTTTGGGACGATCTTTTTGAATGACGCCAGCCAACTTCTGATGTTGAGCAGCGTAGACGACAGCAGTCACGGTGGTACCGGTTGGCAGGAGCTCATAGTACAACATTCCATCTGAATCCCACCAACAGCAGAGAAGAACCTTCTTCTCGTGGAACCCTGGTTTCGGTTCGTGTGGCGGCAATTCTCCTCGTGGAAGCCACTGACTCTTGCGAGTATGGTCGACGTCGAGGACCCAGCTCTCGCTTCGTAGACACCGACACGGCTTGCTTTGTCAGAGTCGCCGAGCCGATGAGGGACCCATGTCGAGTAAACCTTCCGATAGCTGAGGTCGTTCAGATGGTTGCCGATGGCCATATGGGTGACTCCAAGTGTAGTCGCCAATTCGCGAGTGGTGGGGTTCGGTTTCGCATTGAGGGCGTTCCGCAGGGCTTCGTCAGAAAGTGTTGCAAGACTTTCTTTCCAACCCAATATTTACCTACGGTACATTCATTTTGCATTAACTAACATCATTCAGGCAATTACAGTATTTCCATGCATGTCACTCGTGTTCTACGCTAACAGTGAAGCAATTGTGAAATGTATTTCGCATAAAATGGACATGCATATTCAGATGCAGTTCGAATGCTGTTCATGTCACTACTGGATTTTCTGCCCATACCTTATCAAATTGATAGAAATTGTGTCTATTTGTTGTTAAGACGTTGAGAGCAACAAGTAAAAACTTAATATATCAAGTAAACATCACCTATTTAACCCATTCCACACGAATTATTTTTCCACTATTCCATTAGTCTATTCGATTTTACTTTCCAATAATGCAGACATGGTTGCTGAAGGTAAAAGTGACCACGTGAATTCATAGTAAATCACTTACTTTTGCATTAGGAACTCAATAATCCTCTTATGTTGAATGGTCTGTCAGCCACGACATACGAGCTGCAGGAAGCACACGTAATGTCGAGTCCAACGGGACATACGAATGGAAAGGGTTAATATTCCTAGCCAAGCATCCACTGGGGACAGACACAAATCCACATGGAGTTACCCAGGCATGTGCCTCTCCATCCACACTTGACTTTCTCAATGAGCACTCCCCCTTTGATCTCTATTCCATCGAGTGCCTCGCTCTTTCAGTTGATATGCTTATCTGAAGATGATAAAATATCAAATGACTTCTCTTCGTACATTCATTTCCAATATTTCTTGACAGACAATACAATAGAATTGAATGATATTAAAATATATTTAAATATCTGTTAACATTCCGTTGAAATTTCCAATGTTGTGCCATCTCATGCTTTTAAGAAATAAGTGGGAAATAGCAAAAATATTCAAATGAACAAAACTCGTGTTGGCATGAGTCTATTCAATTTTCAAAGAAAAGGACTAAAAAAAAACACACAAATCCTCATTGACAAAACTTACCTGAAAGGAGAACCGGGTCCGAATTCCCTTCTCCCTTGTTTCATGAAAAAACTAAGGAAATTGCAGTGAGGCCGACTGGATTCGCATTTCAAAGGCCCACTTTCACCATGGAAATACAACACCCTTAAATTTCATGACATGTCATTCTCCAGAGTCTCCATGGAAGTTCATGAAAGATGGGAAACCCCTCAGAAATAAAATAAAGCCAAGGTTATATGTTCCACCCATCTCATTACAGTGAATCTGCGTACTTCGTGATTGAAAACTTGCCGAAGCATGCGGCAAAAAAGAACTCCACTGCCAGAAAGGCAATATTAAACCTGCAGTGCTAATGATACCAGGAAGGCGCCAAGGAAGATGCCAGGCATGTTAATGAGGCTATGATGCAAATCTCACGATGAAAATAGCCCAACCTGCATATTGATGAAATGGAATCAACAAGGCCTAAGCTTATTTCTACAGATTTAAAATTATCCGTTTAAAATTCCGAATGGAGGAAATAGGCAGTCTTAGAAGAGAGATCCACTAAAGTACAAGAATTCCACACCCTATGTATTAATATATCCCTAGATCCAGGTCGTTCCTTTAAAGAGACCAAACTGAAACAGTCAGGACCTTGAGATTCTCGTTTTATGAAGGCAGAGAATGAGAAATTAGCACTACGGTATATCAACTCTGATGAACTTTGCATGGAGGGCAACCAGTTTAGCCTATGCCCGGTAATCTTTAGGTCTCGATGAAACGCACGAAATCGTCAAAATTTGGGGCATGCAAAAGAGTTGCAAAGACTTCATTTGGCCTGTAAAAGTATAGATGTGGATTGGAACCTACGACTGTGATTCGACACAGCTCAACTGCAACTCAGAGCCATCAGCCCCATGCCACAGGCAGTGAGTGGTCTTGCTGCCACGTTCACACAGTTCACAATCGATGGTGCCGAGGTGCCGGTCTTAGTCGAATTGTCTACGTCTGATTTACTCTTCTATGGGTTGTGAATAAGAATTCGTAAAAGGCAGTGTCCATGAAAAGAAAACATCGCTGACTTCGACAGCCACGATGATCTAACAATGAGAACAGCATATCGAGGTGCTTTCGAAGTGAATCCAATGCATTACTTGGCAATATCGATGCATAAACTGCATCATATCCATATCTTCATGACGATGAAGGCATGAACAAGGTTATCTTGACATTCACTTAACCTTTCAAGCCCTACTCGATGACGGAAGATTTTCAGCACTACAGGATGAGGCAAAAGCAAGATCCCCCTCAAAACAGTGGCAACTTTCATCATATATTTCGTAATTGTGGCACATGAAGGAATATTCCCTCAGGCAATAGCAAATGCCAATAACGAAGTAACAAGGACTAACATAACAAAATAAACAAGAGAAAGCGCAAAATGTATGTATCACATTAGTCCCATCCCCTTTGGCAAATTATTTCCACCTGACCTATTTATTCAATTTTATGTTGGAGACTGCACCATTTAGTGCATATAGGTCTCACATGGAGCCAAAAATTGAGCCATATGAAAGGATGATCAGCGAAAGGTGCGTGTTTGCCTCGGAAAGAAGAGAAATTTCGAAAATGATCGATTTTGGTCCAAGTCGACCAGTGCGGCCATCCGCCTCGAGTATGCTTTTTTCTGATCATCAGGCCCCTTTCGGATTTTCCCTGGTTTCGCATGCCAGTCGTAGATATTCCTGAGTTCTCCTTCCAAATAAAACAATTTGGACGACAAACATGCATTACAATTTCAACAAGTTCAGTTCAAAAGCAGAAAAATTGCGAGCCTGCAAAGTTTCCCCAAATTCTCGTCACTTGAAGGACTTCGAAGGACTAAGGATCATCTTCCTGCTCTTAACATTTCTCAAATTGCTGTTTACTTTTGGCAATATTAACCTGTTCATGTTCAACTCATTCCCTTCAGACGATCAATGTGAAATTATCGTGAAATGGGAAGAGCTAATAGCATAATCTCCCCGTGTCTCAATTAAATTTAGTATCCGTTTCGTTGAAAGCTTGAACTTCCTTCGTAGCAGAATAATTTGAACGATTGATCATATAGAAAAACGTGCATTCGTATAGAAATTTGTATAGAAATTGGTTTAACAAGTTTTAATTCGGCGGCAATCACTATTGACTCACTTTCCGATAATGTCCTTTTGTTTTCAGAAATAAAAATAATTTTGAAGCCATGGATCCAAGATAAGATAAAGTATAGCACAACATGTTCTTGAAGTATTACGGAAGTTAATTCTCTGCAAATTTAAGGGCTCTTAATTATCAGCTATTGATCAATTCCTAATAATTTCGATCTGGTTCATTTGACAGGTTCGATATGCATTTTACGCCAGTCGAGCCATTCCCTCCCAAAACATCTGACAGCAAGAATCAAATATTGTCAACTAGGGTGCAGCTGCACGTTCTCATTGATTTTGCAGGCATCCCAACACAATTCCGCCGTTTTAAATGAAAAAGGCCAATTGATAGCGAAATCGGGAAGGAAAAAGAGAGCGTGGCACAAAAGAAATAGTTCTGAATGTCCCGACGTATGACATTTTCAGCGGAACCTGCGAATGTGAACAAGGAAAATACTCCATTAATAAAGCCAACTTTGGCAATCGTGTACGTGTTTTCTCGCCGTTGAATTGAGGCATGAATTCCGCAAATTTTGAAATGTATTAAGCAACCTCAGATCATAAAGTAAATGTATTTAGTCATGAAATACTCCATTCAGTGTCTCAAATCTTATCTGAATGTTCCCCTGGTCAATAAATACAATACTAGAAAATGTTGTTTTTCTTTCGAAGATACCACAAAAAATAGAATTGAATATTTTCACGGCTCAATTATCAAACAGTTTCCAAGCAATAAATCCAAATAAAAACTATATTCATCATCACTGAAAACTTGGATACGAGACAATAACAGCAGGATACATCTGTGAGGTTTTTTGCACGTCAAACGATGAATGAGATTGCCATTCATAGGTATTTGAGATTTTAAATTAAATTCACGTACATGACTATAATTCGCCACCGAAGACGGTTACACCTCAGATTAAGGAGACAGAGCCGTGGTTTTGGATCCCCGTCCAAGCCCTAGTGAGAGAGCTGCCACCTGGAGGACAGGTACTTCCGCAAGCTGAAGACGTAGTGCTGGGATGCCTCCACGTAGAGCTTCAGCAGGATCGGGGATGGGACGAGCGGGATCTTCATGCTCATGGACGTCACCCAACGCAGCAGGGTCCGATCCGTGTTGTGTTCCGGATGAGGCGAGAAGGACAGGCCGCTGCCCTTTGCTAACTCCGCCCTGATCATCCCCAAATCGAATATAAAAAGGCAACAATGTATTCGTGTCTGAGGAGAAACCAAATTCATTGTTTTCTATAGCTTTACGTTCATGGAAAAGAAACTCCAGGTGTCACAAAGCTATAGTTACGTGGAGGGCATGGATATTTTTCTGGGAATGACCGAATTTCCCAATCTTACGTAACAACACTGTAAGCGATAGCAGTCAGATATCCACCAGCTTCAAACAAAAAGTTCACTTTCAAGGCCTCCCTGGAAATTCATTTTCACTGCGATATCACAGACTATGATTTATTGATGATATGACTGATTTTACTTTATTAAAGGAGAGGGAAACTTCTAAATGCAGCAGAATTAAGTTTCCTGCGCTGTTTGGAGCTGGTTAATTCCAGATCGTATTTTCTTACAGTGACGTCCACTTTTTTACAGGACTAAACTAGGAAACTCAGGTCTAACCAGCGGCGGCTCGAGATATTTAACAGTGTTTCCTCTATGGAGGCAGGGGAGGGCACTGCCCACTCCCTCTCCATAATGAACCACTAGCGCTAATCATCACGAGCCGCCGCTGAGCATAACTTTCCCATGGCCAGCCGATTCGAACCGCCGGATCTAGGTCGCGAAGCAACCGAGGTTGAAAATACAGGGTGTCCCTTAGGTCACTATGCCATTTCAAAATGTCACATCTTCTAAATTTCTGGTACAAAAAATAAATAACGTTAACTGAACGATAAAATGTCATTTGGAATTATTTGTGTAAAAAATGGCGGCACTTCTGAAGCTTAAAAGTGCCTCAAAATTCCCTCCGCCAATATCAATACATTTGGCACGAGTCCCGCCACCAAAATTATTGCCGAAACTCCCTCTGGACTCTGTTGGGACTTTCAAAAACTCCAGGTCGCAACATTCCTTCGCTACTCAATCGTCAATTGTAAAGCCTTTTCTCATGACAGCAAAAGTAAATTACTGTGAATGTTTTTTTTTTCTCCAGTCTGTCTGGAATTAGGAAAGAAAAACATTAAGTTTAGGATTATTTATAAAGGAAGATTCAGCAAGGTGTATAATAAATCTCCCAGAGGACCTTCTGGCACTCTTTTGAAGCTATTCCTGTTTGAGTCTTTTTCCAATTCATTCTGAAAAAAATGTTCTAAAGACCATTCTTTCCATCATTGCCAAGACAATTTACCAGATTGTTGCAGTTTGGAAAATATTGCAGTTTGAAATGGTATAATGATTTATGGGACGCCCTGATATAGCTTCTTGATATAAACACTTGGAGTTTCAACAGAAATCTTCCTTATTTTTAATTGAGATAATTGAGGATGTGCCCTCGCGGAATAAAATTTGCAAATCGGTCACACGAAAGGAGGGTGCAACTTTCAGGGAAAATCCGAGATTCGCTCTCGTCTCGCCATCTTTCGGATGGACGAGGAGACAAGAGTTGCCGTGATACTCAAAAGGGAACGGTGGCATCGCTTCTTGCCGTTCCTCCCGCCTGCTGCCAGGATTCCGGATTTTTTTTCAGGCGTCCATAATGAAATATGATTCGTTCGTTCGTCGCCACTTGCTCTCACCCGGCTCAATATTTGAAGTTTTCTCTCTCAAAATGCAGAATTTCAAATTTAGAGAATGGCGTACTCTTTCGTCGCTGCCCTTCATCTCCTTCTGTCCTTTAAAGGCGCTCAAGAACGACGGAAGGAAGTCCACGAGCGCGAAATATCTTCAAAGGTTGAATTCCTTTCCCGTATCGCAGTCGCGTTGATGGATGGCAAAAAAATTTGAAAGCATGATCTATGGGAGACGGGAGCTTGGAGTAAACAAGGCGATTTTTGTGACAGTGCTGTTTGCTGCATCTTCCCGATCTTCCTCCATTCCCATGAGCTCCATTCAACAGTGTCGGCCGCTGATGGTTCTGAGGGTTCACTGAGAAGTGCGTGCTGACGATTGAATTGACACTCTCGCTGGGACTGGACGTTTTATAATGCTCTCAATCCTATGTAGAACATGGGAATTGTTTTTTTTTTCCATATGGGCATAACGCTCCGTCGACGTGCTGCGGGGCCAAATGGAATGATAGGTAAAAAGAGCCTTGACAGGTGACATCGGCGCGCTCAGCGTTGGATTCCCGTTTCCGTTCTGGGATTTTACTAACTTCTTTTTCTTCGCCTTTCTTGGCACAATTCACACGATCGGGTGTCGCAGATAATCACGGGTCAAATGAGACATACAGGCTTTATCCTTATAACAGTACCCAAGTAGCACATGAACACTTCTGGGAACGTTCAACCTGCGTTCAAAGAGGTCTTTCGACGGCCAATGTACACCGATGAGCGCCTTTCCCTCGCTCAGTTAAAGTTAAGGTCATCACAAAATATGCGGCATTTTAAGGGCAATGGCTGAACCCTAAATGTGTTTTCGTCAAGCATATCTGGCGTATCTAGCGGCCGGCAATTTTTGCTGACTGTTGGCCGCATTCACCGCTCACACGTGAATAAAAAAAAATCGCTTTAAAAAAAATGCACAACCCTTTGAACCCGCGCTGCCCCAAAGGAACCTGTGCGATGCGTTTTGCAGAAGTCGTCATGAGGGCGCGCAGAAAATCTGCCAAATGCCGAGGATTAAGGCGACGGGGGTCAGAGCCCGAATGACCTTTCCTCATACCGATATCCGATAAAATAAGGGCATTAGGGAAAATCGATGAACCGAGTAGCTTCACCGTGGAGAGCTCCCATCTAATGACGAGGAAAAAATTATCCAGGAGGAAATTCCATAGAAGCCTTAAGCCTTAAGCTGCGAATTTAACTGCCAATTTAGAATTTAGAATTAAGCAGCCGATTTTAATCCTATTTCTCCTCTCATCTCATAAAAACAACTTTTGCTGAATGTGGAGGACAGGGGGGTTATGAAAAAGGGGAAAAAAAAACTGAAAAACTCGCAGATTGAAAATGCCCATTTGGCAGATGCTTCAATTAACAAATTATCGTATCCATGTTTTATTTCTGCCGTGATTGAAAATTAAATGCTTGGATGACCAAGGTACCGCCAACGAGTTTTTTTTTTTTTCCTTAAATGCGACGCTGACATCAGTCCTTCCAGATGATGGTTTCCCATGCGTGATGTCTTCGTTGGAACATGGAAAATTCATAGCGCTGATCGTTTACCACTTACTGAAAGTCTTGATGCCATTCCGACATTTTTCTGATACGCTAATAGATCTCAGGAAAGACAAGGTATATCTACGTAAATGCTTTCTTCCAGAGAGATATCGAGACTCGATTATAAAATCAGATAAATCACGTAGGAAAATGCCTCCCCCGATTTCACTACGAACTTAAAGCGTTTCCCGCCCACGGACTCAATTTCACAACTAAAGCATGAACGAATGAACACTTTCGAACACATTCATATCTTCGACAAGCGTGCAGATTTCATCCACCCCAGACAGAGGAATTTTGGCTCATAGCCTCCCAAAATTGAATTTTTTTTTCTTCAGAGTGATAAATGTCATACCTGACCATCTTCCCCTTCTCCTCCATCCCCAGGCAGACCGTGCTGCTCGTGGAAACGTGCCAGGCCTCGCCGACCCTGCGGCAGTGCGAGAGGTAGACCACGTCCCGGCTGACGAGCAGGCCGCCGAGCTTCGGTTCCGTCACGTAGTGCATGATCCGGCTCGTCTCCGTCAGTCGCTGGGGAGTCGGAAGCGGATCGTTTATCGCAACTCAATTCCCTCTAATTCCCTCTCGCACGGTTTCGATTGACTCATGCAGGCAATATTTGAAGCCGTAAGGCGAGTATTCTGACTTGTTAAATCACAAAAAAGCCACATAGAAAGACTTGAGTGATCTTGATGAAAATTGGTAAATATACTTGTATTAGTGCGTCATGTAATTGATCCTAGTTTCAAGGTCGTAGGTTAAATATTCGCTGAGAAAACTTGCCAAGCATCCCAATTTAAAAGGGGGTCGGAAGGGTCGTACTAATTGCCCACAAAGAACATCTAGAAGGAAATTATTAATGAAATGCGAAACAGAAACTTCCATCGATGTTTAGAACAATGAAGCAAAGTTTAAATGCCGCAGGATGAAGCGCTGCAGGGAGCCGAGGTAGCCGAACGCCCCGAGGGATGGGGGATAGGGCGAATGCACCGATCAGGCCAGTTTCCTTTTCTGATTCCCTCCATCCACTCTGCTATGCTTCAATCGTTTATTTTTCGTCTTTAAAGCCATGCGAGGACGATGTTCACAAAGGCAGTCTAGCCAACTTCACCAGTTCGATCGAGGTCGGTTAGTCGACATGCTGGTGGCTGGGGACGGGCCAAAGGACTTCCTCGAGGACCGTGTACCAGCATGCAATCCAGCTGGGCCTGCGGTCTAGACGCCTGGCGGGCCAGCTGGGCCTGCGGTCTAGACGCCTGGCGGGCCAGCTGGGCCTGCGGTCTGGCTATCTGTCCCCAATACCAGTACCTTCCGTGAACACGGATAGAAGCGATTCGGTCTCGGAGAATCTACATCTTCAGATCTACGACCTTGAAACTATCATCAATTTCATGACGCAATAATACGAATATGATTACAAAAATTCATGAAGATCGCTCAGCTCCTTCTTGGTGTGACTTTTTTTGCCGAATGGGTGTATTATCAGAAAATGCCTAATTCCACAGCGACCATCGCAAGTATACCAAACGAAAAAGGGTTGAACCCTCTCAGATACGCTGCGATAGTACAAAAAACAGCGGAATTTCTTTCCATATCCTGTCTTCATGCGCATGTTGGAAGAAATTCCGCGCTTAAATATTTGCACGAATAAATATTTGGCTGACGAACGACCGGAATCGGACGAACCTGAACGACCCTCATCTCCTTGACTTCGGAGTACCAGCTGGCAGTGGCCTCGAACGTGTGGTCTTGCATGTCGGCGAAAACCCAGTCGCAGTCGAAATTCAGCTGGGCCTGTGGACAGGGAAAGCGAGCGTCCCGTGAGGCCCAATAATATATAATAATAATAATAAATAACAGATAATAAGTGACTCTCCGACGGCATGCCTCAGCATCGGACTCGTGCACTCTGGCATGAGTCTCGTGAGTCTTTTTCTCGAGACCGCATGAATCGACTAATTCATAGTTGCCACCGCCGATATCTCGTGCGAATAGGTTGAGGGAAGGGGAAAGACAGTAATCAGTAATATCAAATTTCGTAAAATGTGTCTACTATTTTGCTTCTTCCGAAAAATCAGTATTATTGAAAAGTCCTTTATTGACCGGTTCCTTCGGAATCGTGATTCCTGTCTCAGACGCATCTTCCCTCCCTCCTTCCCCTCCTTCCCCTCCCCCCTCCCTCCTCCCCTCCCCCCTCCCTCCTTCCCCTCCCCCCTCCCCCCTTCCCCCCTCTTTCAAATTGTCAGTGTTCGATTAGGAGATGAGAGCATGGAAATGAAATGAGGGATTGTTTCAAGACCATCCTGCTCCGACTCTCAGAATACGTCCGCGCGTAGTCATGTGAGGACAGTCCGCTGAACGATGGAATATTCGGGAATATTCCATATCATGGAATTCGGGAATATGGAATATTTAAATTCCTCTACGACCATTCGTCGTAGAGGAATTTAAAAGGAATATCCGCGAGGGGATTCAATTGAGAATGAATGGTGACCTCGGTCAATATGAAGTGCATTTTCTTCTCGTGGTCGTATGCGGACTTGACCACGATGTCTTCTCGGCCAAAATCCTTTTCCAGTTTCCAGTCCTTCCTCTCCAGGTTGGACAGGAACTTCTCCAGCGCCCTCTCTCCTTCGGCCTGGTACTTCTGCTCCATGGGCCTCTGCAGTATTTATAGACGTGAATGAGTGGCGCCAAATTCGTTACAAATATTATCGGAAGCTGAAATTCAGTACACAACAGTACTTGGAACGCTGATTTAAAGAAGCCATTTTTCGAAATAAATCCGCGGGAAGATCGTGTGTTTTTGGGGTAATCGTCTCAATCGTCTACCTGGGGCGTTGAGTACAATGCTCCCGATGCTGAAAGTCACGTGACGTAACAAAGACAATTTTCTAAACTGTGGCCTGAGGAGCAACCAAACTGAATTTCCGGTAATGAATTCCCGGCATATCCACTCCTCGATTAAAGAAAATTATTGTATTATGTCTGGCCGGCTTGAGCAAGCACAATCCATGCACTGAAGTTGGCTGGCAAGCATACTTACTAATTACTTACTAATTGACCAACTGTGAGGCTGAAATTCCAGCCGATCGAGAACAGACGAGTAACCGAGCTTGAAAGAGAGGAAACTGACTTACAGAATGTGCTGAAGGAAAGAAAACGATGGAAAATTGCGAAGGTCGACGCAAAGTCAATAGAAATATCTCTGTCATCATAATAACGAGATGAAGGAAATGGATCGCCTGTGCTGAGTAATGCCATCACCATGTCAATCTCCATGTCACATTGGAATTATCGGTGTTCACGAATAATGGATGTCGAGGGATGAATGACGATGATTCTCGGCGGAGGAACTCGTAGCGATGCAGAATTGCACCGAGGTGAAGCTTCGAGGTTGACTCGACGGACGGAATACGCCTATTGGGGGGGGGGGGGGGGGATATTCCCCGGGGTCGGAAAGATGACTGAAGACAGAACGTCGCATTCAAGGAGATGACGACGACATTCACAAGAGAGGCGAAACAGCTCCTTATCGTTAGTATGAGGCGCAAGAAAACGAAGAGAGACATATTTCTGAATGGTGGCTTCTTAGCCACGATGCGACAGACCTTGATCGACGGCGGAAAGCTTCTAAAAGAAGAGGAATCGTCTGAAGAAAAGAAACGGGTGCAGGAATAATGAAGCTTCAACGGTAGAATGAGGAACATGCAGGAAAGTTGAATCAGGCGAAATGCCACAAATCGAGCTTTCCCAATGGCTATTGCGAGTTTACCCGATAAAAACATGAAATCATGCCTATTTTGTTGCTGTTAAAGAAAAAAAGTTTGCATCTTAGCGAGAGAAAACTTACTACCTAATTGCGGTTACTCGGTTATGCAAGTTTTCCTAGGGTAAGCAGCACCGTGACTTTGCTGATTTTACCTTTTTTGCAGTAGCTGCGACAGCTCAACTGCTCAATGCATGCGGTGAAATTTAAAATCTGATTATTTTGATTACCTTCTGCTTCATCGCCTTTTCCTTGCTTTACCGCCCGCAATGGCAAAACATGCTTCCATAATATATCAACCTGTTCAACATCGGGGACCACCGTTCGGCACAGCAACGTTGTGCCAAAAGTTGAGCAAAAAGATTGACTTTTCAACGCGACAATGTTGCCTCAATCTTGTGCCAAAGGTCGCCTCGACGTTGAAGCAGTGTTGAGATGAAACACCGTTCAACATCGAAAATAAGTTTCTCAACTTTTGGGCAATGCATTGATTGCACAATTCCAGATTGATGATAATGCCCAATCGGCACAACAGTGTTGTGTCAACGTTGAGGAAAGTTTGATGGCAATGCTGCCTCAATGTTGAGAAAAGTTGCAATTTTCAACTCGACCTGCTGTCTCAACGTTGCCCCAATGTCGAAATGAAACACGGTTCAACGTTGAAGAGGCGTTGCTGTGCAACTTCGGGTTGAACCGTCAACGTTAATTAGCGTTAATTAGCCGGTGGGATTGAATGTCGATTCGATAACTCCACGGAGATTATTTCCTTTACTGAATCAGAATTCAAATAGAATACTTAAACCACTCGATTCTCTCGATTCAGAAGAGGAAAATAACCCTGCGGTCATGTTTTCATGCTCTATCCTCTTTTTCAGTGAGAAAATGTGGAGATTTAAGAAAATTGAGCACATCTCCTTGGACTCACTGGCTAGAAGTACCCAGAGCTTCCTTCTGCCGGGTTGCCTCGTAAGACAGGTCCATCTTGAAATTCCTGTACCTTCCCTTAGGTTGTAAATGGGAAAAGATCGGGTACTGCATGAAAAATGCAGGGTACCGTTTATTTCAGGGCATCAGGGGAAGAACCGCCGAATCGGCGGTTAGGCGCCATCTCGCGTCGATCCGTAGAACCTACTTTCTATCGATATGATGTGGATAACTCCACGTCGAAACAACATTGAGAATTCGATGAAAAACGAATTTCCTCCTGGTAGCCTCTGAACGAATTCCCTAATTCATGAATAGTCACCAAATGCTGAAAATACGGCTAATTACAAATAGTGAATTACATTTCATCGATGTTGATTTTTTGTCCAATCGACCAAGTCTTCAACTAAGTCTCAATGTTTCAACCTTTTCTCAATGTTGACACAACATTGTTGTGCCAAATGGGTACTCTGTTGAGTATTATCATCCCTCTTGAGGGCCAAGAAATGATCTCCAGGTGGGAGAGTACTACTATTACTTTGGAAGGGTAATCCCAGTACTCTATTGAGTAAGAAAAACATGCCGGAGGAGTCCCGCAGAGGCTATATTTCATTTATTAGATCAGAATTCTAGTCAAGTACTTAAATGACGCAACTTTCTGTGCAGTAGAGGAAGTACATGTCCAGCATCATCCCTAGATTTAGGAAAGGAGCCTGACACATCCTCGCAGGCCAAAATTTTCTTACTCTTGTCCTTTCGAAGGAGATACAGGAGCCCGAGTCCCTATATGCACGAGACTCGGGAAATTACGGCATGTCTCCTCGGACCCCTCGCCAGCAGTACTTAAAGTCTCCTTCTGCCGGGTTGCCTCCTAAAATGGGTCTATCTAGGAATTCCAAAGCCTTCCATAAAGGTTTACGTGAGAAAAGATCAGATACAACATGAAAAATACAGGGGAATCATTCTAGTGGCACCATCTCGCGCCGATTCATAGAACCTATTCAAATGCTGATGTCACAACCATGTCTCAACGTTTCAACTTTGTATCAATATTGACAAAACCTTGTTGTGCTGAATGGGCATATCGGTACTCAAGCTTTTATTAAATAGGAATTAACTCAACTTCCTGTCAGACAAAACATACATAGATTTTAGGGCTCAAAAATGAGTAACAAATAAGGAGTGGGAGAAAATTGCCAGCATTAATTTTTGCTGCAGCTACTAAAAGTGCCGGAAGTGCAATTTCAAAGGTTTGTGAAATGAAACCCTGCAAACCACGTTGCAGATCGTCAACAGCACTCGCAGCGGTGGCTGAAAGCAGCGGAGGTCGGGTATGGTGGCCACATCGATCGTTTCCTTGAGGAGTAAAGTCCAGCGCCCTGTACATAATTTTTGCATAATTGCATAATTTTTAAAAATCTCAATTTGACTCAGGATGAAATGTTGTGATCCAGGCGACTAAAGTTAGGTTTCCTTTTCTCGATTTCCTTTTATACTCGTGTGCTTGGCTGCACATAACTTTTGAATCCCCAATGATGCAAAACGGTTTGCATGGAATTGAACAGAGCTTCCAGAAGGCGCCTGGCACTTGAAAACGACACAGTGTCTTCACCAGCTACCGCCAAATTTCCTTTTTTTTCTTACTCCGTGATTGATGCGTTGCAGATGCATCCCCGAGCCCACAAAAGTGGATGATTTGGATGAGTCAATTTCAGTTATTCCTTATTCATGCAGGGAAAAAAAGAACCTTGAACGAGTCAATGAGAGTCATAACAGGATATCACCCTAAAAACGATGCCTGTTAGAGCCGGATCGACTCCAGGACATTGGTATCGGCCGAGTCACTCCAGTCGGCAAGAAACGGAAACTGCTCATGTCCCTTCAGAAGTCGTTAAGATAAATTATGTGCCTCCCGGCTCAGCCACGAATAAACGCTAGTTCCAGACAGTCTGGGCTAACTTGAGAGACAAGGTTTCTAATCATCAGCTGTAATTTTCCTACGAGATACAGATACAAACACAGGAAGATTCAAATGCCCCCGCACGCACGCACGCACGCACACACACACACACACACGCACGCTCGCTAACACACACACATACTATGGTACCGTCATGATATCAACTTCCAATCGCAACAAGAATGTTTCTTCTGTTACTACGGGCGTGCCTTCTTTAGTTCCTTTTCTTAGTTCAGTGCATACACAATGGTCTCTCAATCGCTACCCCTCCTGACCTCGGATGCATGAGCGTTACGGTCTGGTGAAGGTCACCTTCCCGATCACACGCAGCAAACAAGCACGGACGACTGAGTCTGCGAAAAACCAACGGAGCGGCATGCCTCCACCATGAATCTCGCATCCTCGAAGGACGAAGGAGCTCGGTCTCCGGACGGCCGGGCGTGGAGTCGACGGCCCGGCGACTTTCGAAGCCGAAACCGTCCGCGTGCCGTCGACCCTCGATATGGCGCCGCTGGTGGTCGAACGAAACGCGGCAGGTCGCGAAACCGACGTCTTAAAGGGACGCAGACTGAGTGAATGAACCGGGCGCTGTCATTCTTAGCGCCGTTATCTCTATGCACCATCCATTTTCCACGGGTGAAAGTTTCCTCTCGCTATCTCACTATTTGCCATGCGATCGGTTGGCAGCGAACATTTAATTAGTTGCACACTGGATGATTTTTGCGGCTGGTGTGCCACTCGGCGCAAAGTCGAGGCGGTGTTACGTAAAAAAAAAAAAACTTTTGTATAAATACTTGAGTTGGCGGGGGGGTGGTGCCATGACAGGAGATCGCCTGCCATGGTGGTGCCATGACAGGAGATCGCTGCTCATAATCTCGTGAGGCGATGGGTTCTTTGGAAGGAGTCGCCAATAAGTGAGGGCCGCGGTATACCGAGGGCTCACTGTATTCAGAAATGAGAAGATGAAAGACACGAAATCGAGAAAGGTTGCGAGTCCCAGCACCACGAAGAGCAACGGTTTCGGGACTGAAACCGTATCGAGAGCCATGTCGACGAATTACCAAGAATTCAAAGTAGAGGAGGGTAGGGCTGGTCTGTGTATGAGGGCCTTTCGTGGCTTACCGAATGGATTAGTGGATTAGTGGCAGGAAGGATCCAGCTAGAGCACGCAGGAGTGCCACAACGAACGAAAAGAGAACGAGTCCGAAACGAACACGATTCCGAAACGAGAACGATTCCTAGTAGAGGAAGTACATGTCCAGCATCATCCCTAGATTTAGGAAAGGAGCCTGACACATCCTCGCAGGCCAAAATTTTCTTACTCTTGTCCTTTCGAAGGAGATACAGGAGCCCGAGTCCCTATATGCGCGAGACTCGGGAAATTACGGCATGTCTCCTCGGACCCCTCGCCAGCAGTACTTAGTCTCCTTCTGCCGGGTTGCCTCCTAAAATGGGTCTATCTAGGAATTCCAAGCCTTCCATAAAGGTTTACGTGAGAAAAGATCAGATACAACATGAAAAATATAGGGGAATCATTCTAATGGCACCATCTCGCGCCGATTCATAAAACCTATTCAAATGTTGATGTCTCGACCATGTCTCAACATTTCAATTTTTGTATCAATATTGACAAAACGTTGTTGCGCTGAATGGGCATATCGGTACGCAAGCTTTTATTAAATAGGAATTACCTCAACTTCCTGACAGAACGAAACATACATTGATTTCCGGGCTCAAAAATTAGTAACAAATAAGGAGTGGGCGAAAAATGTCAGCATTAATTTTTGCGGCAGCTAGTAAAAGTGCCGGAAATGCAATTTCAAAGGTTTGTGAAATGAAACCCTGCAAACCACGTTGCAGATCGTCAACAGCACCCGCAGCGAATCAAAAGGCAGGGAGAAGTGATGACAGCTCTCGCAGCGGAGGTCGGGTATGGTGGCCACATCGATCATTTCCTTGAGGAGTAAAGTCCGGCGCCCTGTGCATAATTTTTGCATAATTGCATAATTTTTTAAATTAAATATCAATTTGACTCAGGATGAAATGTTGTGATCCAGGCGACTAAGGTCAGGTTTCCTTTTCTCAATTTCCTTTTGTACTCGTGTGTTTGGCTGCACATAACTTTTGAATCCCCGATGATGCAAAACGGTTTTTCAAAACGGTTTGCATGGAATTGAACAGAGCTTCCAGAAGACCCCAGGCACTTGAAAACGGCACAGTGTCTTCACCAGCTACCGCCAAAATTCCCTTTTTTTTTCTTACTCCGTTATTGATGCGCTGCAGATGCATCCCCAAGCCCACAAAAGTGGATGATTTGGATGAGTCAAAGCAATTATTCCTGATTCATGCAGGGAAAAAAAAGATCCTTGAACGAGTCAATGAGAGTCATAACAGGATATCACCCTGAAAACGATGCCTGTTAGAGCCCGATCGACTCCAGGACGTTGATATCGGCCGAGTCACTCCAGTCAGGAAGAAATGGAAACTGCTCATGTCCCTTCAGAAGTCGTTAAGATAAATTGTTATGTGCCTCCCGGCTCAGCCACGAATAAACGCTAGTTCCAGACAGTCTGGGCTAACTTGAGAGACAAGGTTTCTAATCATCAGCTGTAATTTCCCTACGAGATACAGATACAAACACAGGAAGATTCAAAAGCTCCTGCACACACACACGCGCAATCACGCACACACACACACACACGCACGCACACACACGCACGCACACACGCGCACGCACACACGCGCACGCACACACACGCACGCGCACACACATACTATGGTACCGCCATGATACCAATTTCCAATCGCAACAAGCATGCTTCTTCTGTTACTACGGGCGTGCCTTCTTTAGTTCCTTTTCTTAGTTCAGTGGATACACAATGGTCTCTCAATCGATAACCCTCCTGACCTCGGTTGCATGAACGTTACGGTCTGGTGAAGGTCACCTTCCCGATCACACTCAGCAAACAAGCACGGACGACTGAGTCTGCGAAAAACCAACGGAGCGACATGCCTCCGCCATGTATCTCGCATCCTCGAGGGACGAAGGAGCTCGGGCTCCGGACGGCCGGGCGTGGAGTCGATGGCCCGGCGACTTTCAAAGCCGAAACCGTCCGCGTGCCGTCGACCCTCGATATGGCGCCGCTGGTAGTCGTCGGTGATTCTGAAACGAGAGTGACGCTACATCGACTGAAACGCGGCAGGTCGCGAAACCGACGTCGTAAAGGGACGTAGACTGAGTGAATTCGGGCATAACCGGACAACCGGTTCGGGCGTTGTCATTCTTAGCGCCGTTATCTCTATGCACCATCCATTTTCCACGGGTGAAAGTTTCATCTTGCTATCTCACTATTTGCCATCGATCGGTTGGCAGCGAACATTTAATTATTAACACACTGGATGATTTTTGCGGCTGGTGTGCCACTCGGCGCAAAGTCGAGGCGGTGTTACGTAAAAAAAAAAAACTTTTGTATAAATACTTGAGTTGGCGGGGGGTGGTGCCATGACAGGAGATCGCCTGCCATGGTGGTGCCATGACAGGAGATCGCCTGCCATGGTGGTGCCATGACAGGAGATCGCCGCTCATAATCTCGTGAGGCGATGGGTTCTTTGGAAGGGGTCGCCAATAAGTGAGGGCAGCGGAATACCGAGGGCTCACTGTATTCAGAAATGGGAAGATGAAAGACACGAAATCGAGAAAGGTTGCGAGTCCCAGCACCACGAAGAGCAACGGTTTCGGGACTGAAAACGTATCGAGAGCCATGCCGACGAATTACCAAGAATTCAAAGTAGAGGAGGGTAGGGCTGGTCTGTGTATGAGGGCCTTTCGTGGCTTACCGAATGGATTAGTGGATTAGTGGCAGGAAGGATCCAGCTAGAGCACGCAGGAGTGCCACAACGAACGAAAAGAGAACGAGTCCGAAACGAACACGATTCCGAAACGAGAACGATTCCGAAACGAGAACGATTCCGAAAAGGGAACGATTCCGAAAAGGGAACGATTCCGAAACGAGATGACTCGTCAGCGAGATTTCTCAAAGCTGCGGTTCCTTCTCGAGTCATTCAAGAACGTCTCGTCCGGAACGGTCGTTTTCTTCATGCTGTCCTTCACCGTCCGGCCCCCGTCTTCGTCGCCCCGATCTGAGGGCTAGACCGACGGCGCTCCGGCACGAGCCGTCGGATGCCCCTGCGATTTCGTCCGACAGATTTCATTCGAAGGGGCGTCGGCTGTGCCTGCCGACGTCAAAAATATATATGATGAAGAATAGTAGAGAAAAAAATAAAGAAGAATGAACGAGAATAAATGGCAGTTTCCAGCGAACGGCAGTGAATAATCGCGAGAGTTTCGCTTTAAACTGCGGCGATGATGCACTTTTCATTCCAAATACAAATTTAATTTTATTGAAATTTGTATTGCTTTGAGAAACTTGAATCCAAGATAATGTTAATGAACAAGGATGCCGCTGAGTGCTTCCACCTCTGATCCTTCTTTTCACCGAGCTAGCGGCTCGGACGATTCCCCAATTTCTACTTACTCATGTTCCCGTCCTTAACTTTGGAAAAGGAGGCTGTCTTCCGATCTGCAAGTCACGGTAGCTATCGAGCTCATGCCACTCGATCCGTCTTATTACCCGGCGATCTGACCGCTCCGCCTGCCCCTCGAGGTGGCGCTGGAGGCAAGGGATGTACGCGGAGGAGGCATTTTGCAGGGAAGTTTCCGAGACCCAGTCGCCCTTGCTGGCTGTCGTGTACGGACGGGGACGTCATCCACGCCCGACCCCGACATGCACGCTGCTAAGATTGGAGGGGAGGGAGGGAGGTCGTAGGAGAGGGAGGAAGGTCGGAGGGGAGGGAGGTAGGTCAGAGGGGAGGGAGGTAGGTCAGAGGGGAGGGAGGTAGGTCAGAGGGGAGGGAGGTAGGTCAGAGGGAAGAAGGGTGGGTGGAGGCCGAGGGCCCACCGTGCACTCCCACTTCAATTTCCCTGCCCTTGCTGGAGGCGCTTCTTTGCAAGGGCCGGAAAAGTAGTTAAATCGCCTCGTTTTCCGACTGGTCTTTGAACATGGGGTCTATGTCGGGACATTGGTATAACCCGGAGTGTGCTTCTTTGTTCTGCCAGGAGAGGCAGAAGCAGTCGTGACGGCGTTTTTTTGATAGCAGAGCTCTCCACGGAAGCTCCGCCGCCTCTTCTGACCCTGGACTCGGTAGAGAACGGAGAGGAGCCTCATGACCTTGCCCTTGGAGAGCATTCAGGCATGGACCTTTTTTCCCCCTGCTCCCCCGCGACCGCGTGCGCATGCGCCCGGAGAGCTGCTGCAGAGAGCAAAGAAATACGCCCCCGGTCAACCGCGCCGTCGTCTTGCATCTTCAAAAAAAAGGCGCGCCGTTCCGAAGTGTCACACAAACGCTATCCCCAGCTATCCCCAACTTACGGCCGAGATTGCGAACCCGTAGCAGGCAGCAGTCAGTTCGAGCACGAACCCATTTATCTCGAAGCCTCAGACACGAGATGCCATTATCTCTGACGATAAACGAAAAATTCCGTCCCTAATGCCCTCATCGCGACCTGCTCCTCCATCGAGCAACTCCGGGTTAAGACGGCCAGATCGACACGAGAGACCGACTCGACCAGACCGACACGAAAAGACCGACTCGAGGAGATCGACTCGAAGACGAGTTGCCCAGGAACGCAAAATAAAGGCGGTGGAGACCAACGAACGCGACTTGGAATAAAGCACCACTGCAATATTTCAAGATTTAATCCGATTCCCAAGGTCCTGCGTCCGGTTTTTCCGCTTCCGATTTTTTTTAGGGGCCAGAACTTTTGTTTTCGCGGGGTCGACTGTCTATTCGGATAACCCATTCCACGAGACGAGGTGCTCCAGACACGGCTCCGAAGAATTTTCGGGACATTTCCAATCGGATTCGGTCGCTTGTACAGGTTGTCCCAGAAGTCCGGACCAGTAGGGAAAATACACATTATATTCTTCAAGTAAAAAAAAAATATATATATATTATTAATAATAAAATAATAAAACCACATTTCCAACGTCCGGTTAACAAATTTCGGGAAATGTCAGTCATTTTCTCTCCGGCTCCAGACTTCTGGCACATCGATGGACAGGGGATTCCCTCGGGTGTGTAGCCCCGCTTTCCGAAAATGACTTATAGGATTCCTATATATTCCTATAGGAATCCTATAGGAACCTAAAGGAATCCTATAGGATCCTATATGCCCCATAGAGTTCAGTTTGGGACCTATAGAGTTCCCAATAGAACCTATAGATCCCCCTATAGAACATATAGAGTTTCCTATAGAACCTATAGGGTTCCCTATAGAACCAATAGGGTTCCCCATAAGGCCTATAGGTTCCCTATAGGACACAAAGGGTTCTGTATAGGACCCGTAGGGTTCCCTATAAAACCTATAGGGTTCCCTATAGGACCTGTAGGGTTCGCTATAGGACCTATAGGGTTCCCTATAGGGCTTATACAGAATCCTATAGGCCTATAGGGTTCGGTTTGAAGTTCTCCTCTAGGCCACTAGATGGAAGTATTGGGTTCTCGCATTTCTGAAAGGACACAAAAGTGCCCTCCCCTAAAAATACGTCTCATTCTGAAAATAAGACCTTCACTCACGCATCAAACTCAATGAAAGGCCCACAGACATTACACAATATTCCCCATTTATGTCATACATTTCCTCTAACTTCGACAGTTGCTTATTTGTCATCCCCATCTTCCATATATAATCATGGAATCCCGTGAAGAAATATGCACTAATTCCTTTTGAAAACCACGTACGAAACTGAGTAGACTATCCAAAAGGAGTTTCAGTAAAGAGACGTGCTCGCAGGTTCTGTCCTCTATTTCCTTAGGTCGAGAGAAGAATACTACTTCTTCCTACCAAAGGAAGTAGACGTGCAATCCAGCGACACATGTGGGACGGGGCGAAAAATTATGCAGACCCCCGTATTACCGGTATTAATAATGCATGTGTCCCTACCATGGAGAAACCCCTACTCGGTTTTTTATTTACACCGAAATGCTGCGCCATTATTAACCCCGGTCGCCTTTTCCGTGGTAATGCATGGGTTTCGAAACCAAAATATCTTCCCTGAATCCTATAGGTCAAGGATCCTATAGGTTTTTCGTGTTTCAAAAACTTATAGGAAAGTCTATAGGTTTCCTATAGGACATTTCCCTAAGGGCCTTCCCTGTACGAATTGCCCTTTACATCGGTACAGCCGAAGGCCCTTTGGCTGGACCGATGTATCGGCCGCCGGTGTTGCACTATCGGCGCCATCGGCAGCCGGATGCCGATGCCGATGTTTCAAGGAAAGGCAAAACTTGCGGGAAAAATGTATGGAAGAAAATTGGAGAATATTTTTTGGGTGAATCCGAAAAAAAAATTGATCGGATTACGTTTCAACACTATTCTAGAAACTTGTGGATGAAAACAGCGGTAAAAAAAGGGAAATCCCTGCACCACCTTTTATGTAATGTCATGCGAAGAATACGTCATTAAACGCTCTCAAAAGCAGCGATAGGCAAAAAGCAACTGACGAACAGACGGCACCAAATACGGCACCAAATACGGCACCAAATACGGCACCAAATACGGCACCAAATACGGCACCAAATACGGCACCAAATACGGCACCAAATACGGCACCAAATACAGCACCGAATACGGCCTTTGTCGTTTTTTAGGGGGCTCCCTGACGAGTATCACAGGACTTCCAAGTTGGCCTATTCTAACGAGTATGCAATTGCATGTTACTTCTCAATTCTCAGACGACCATCGGCACCGGCGTATGGTCCCGAGATGAACAATCGTCCCTATCGTCTTACGCAGCGGATGGACAAAACCGGACATGATTTACACAGCTCGAGGCATGCGGCCTCGTTTTGCGATGGTCGCCTCGGTCCCCTTTCCTGGATATCGAAAAAAAGAACTGTCGGCCGCCTGCCGATCGATGTGTGAGGCCCGACTCTCCCCCCTCGTGTAACTCTTACTCCCCGGATTTTCAACCTAACACCTTAAAAAAGACTGAGAGGATCCTCCAGCTCGACTTCCGTCTTCCCCCTTCCATGATTGTCAGTTGTCAACTGACCCGTCATTCTCCAAAATAGGTCTTTTTCGGCCCAACATGGAAGGAATGCGACTCCCTCGGTTTGTGTCAAGAGTTAGTTTTATGCGGTGCGCTTGGGTTTAGTGAAAATCCACAAAAGCATTTGGAACGCTAATCCGAGTCTCTAACCTTCTTCGCTTGTGTAATAAGTCACCCACTTATGCCTCCGTCGTTACCGCGAATGATAATTTTGCTTTTGCCCGCAAGAGCCGGAGGTAAGAAATGCCGACGGGGGTCCCATTAACACTCCCACCAGGTTAGAGAAGTGGCAGGAGCCTTCATCTCATCGAGGTCCGAGCACGATCGATTGCGTCGGCGCTTCTTTTCGTCTGTGGGATGCGATCGACTTTTGGGCGGGAGACTGCCACGTTTCGGCGCACTTCCTCCATTAGGAAGGCTGGGTTAGGAAGGTTAACCATTAGGAAGGTTAAATCCAGAATGTGAAGCTCCATCTATGAGCTCCGGATCGTTGGGATTCTACATGCATTAGAACGTGTCGGCCCTGGCGAGTAGAGCTGAGCGGAGATTCGGGATCTTGCGGTATGCGAGTCTCGGGGCTCGAGAACCACGGTCGGCGGCATTCGATCGGTGCCTTCGACCCGATTCGACCCACTTCGACTCGATTTCACGACCCTTGAAAGAACCGAGCGCTGCAATGCCATTACACGCAGAATGCCGAAAGCTGCACCGAACCGAATTCATATGCCGGAATTCGTCCTGCCCCTTCGGAGAAGAACGAAATGAACATACCGACTGGAAATGAAGGATCGCAAGAGCACTCGAGAGCCTTATGAAAACCGGCCGCACCCCCAAGTAATCACAAACACGAACTGCCAAACCCGAGATAAGGAGAAGCATCGAGCAACGCACCCCTCAAAAAGCATCCTTCCAATCACAGGCGCGCAGCCCGCCCAGGCGCATGCCCATTCGTCTAGAGTCTAGACTCTTCTCTAGACTCCTCCGCGGAGTCTTGAGTCTAGACTCTAGATTCCTCCGCGGGTCCGCGGCATCCAAGCGGGAGGTCCCCGATGCCAGAGCGGTGTGAGGATGTGCTCCTCGACTATTTGCGATGAATTTCAATTTGGCCGATTTTCATCGTGTCGTCTTCCTTCAACGAGTTGTTACATTTAACCGACGGAAACTTCCACGATGCGTTAGTCGGGTGATTCATTCCATGATTGGATCCCTTGATTGAGTTTCGTGCCGCTTATTGTGATGACGGTGCAAGGAAATTTGAGATATGGAATCCATGGAAACTTGAAGATGCAGTTTTCACTCGAGCAATTCGATATTACTGGAGGAAGTAGTCTTCCAAAACTTCTCTGCGTGAAAGTAGCACCTTGATACCCTCAAATTGCATCTCCAAGCAGTAAAATAAAATATTCAAAGATCTTCCTCCGTCAAGGCCGCACGTGAGTGGGCAAAAGACACGCCCAAGGTCAATTCGCGTTCGAGCCACGGCGTACGCTGCAGGCCCAAAAACGTCTGCAAAGTGAGCGTGATCTGTGGAAGTGTTCAAGACTGTTCACAACCCTTTTCATAGCCTGGAGGAAAAGTCGCTCTTAACCCCGGGGAAGGGATACCTCACCCTTTTCCTACTCTCAAGGCCATGCGATAGCGACAGAACAGTGGCCGGTTTTTAGTTTGGTTTTGGTTTGGTTTTGGTTTTCCAGATTTGATCAAATTATCCTACTGAAAATTACAATAAACAGCGTCTACTTTCTATTTTCTGTCTATTTTCGAGACGAGCGCCGTCTTTTAGCTCGCTCTCCCGCAAATCGTAAAATCCACCTTCCGTCGGTTCTTCTGCGGATTTTGCCAAACCGAACGTGATGGGATGGGCCATCGAAATCCTATCGATCTTAAAAACTAAGCAAGTGATTGTTCTGCTTTTTCGAAGGTCAGCTTGGTTTTCAAGACTCTCATGGACTCGAAGATCGGACAACCTCGGTCTCCAAGGAGTATTTCGGCATTTGCTACATTTATTACATGTACGACATTTTTTAAATATTACCTATATTTATTACATGAAATTCATTTATCATATTTACAAAGTGTATTACATTTACTACATTCATTACACTTTCGATATTCCCATGAATATCGATTTCCTTCCTTCAGCGCCTCCATCGGAGCCGTCTCGATCGTCCCGTGCTTCCTCTCATATCGTATCAGATCCCTTAACATCTCGATCCTTCTGCTCCCAGTCGACTCGGCAATATTGATGCGACGTTGTAATTACTGAAGTTACAGCGTCCAGAATGTTAAGACGACGCTGAAGAACACCCTTACGAAAATGTCTTATAGGATTCCTATATATTCCTATAAGAATCCTATAGGAACCTAAAGGAATCCTATAGGGTCCATAGAGTTCAGTTCGGGACCTATAGAGTTCCCTATAGAACCTATTGAGCCCCCTATAGAACCAATAGCGTTCCTCATAAGGCCTATAGGTTCCCTATAGGACCCAAAGGACTCTGTAAAGGACCCGTAGGGTTCCCTATAAAACCTGTAGGGTTCCCTATAGGACCTATAGGGTTCGCTACAGGACCCATAGGATTCTCTATAAGCCCTATACGGAACCCTATAGGCCTATAGGGTTCAGTTTGAAGTTCTCCTCTAGGCCACTAGATGGAAGTATTGGGTTCTCACATTTCTCAAAGGGCACAAAAGTGCCCTCCCCTTACCGAAGGAATAAGTAGTACTACTTGAAGCATTCAATATCGAAAGGTCGGAGGTCCCCACTCATAGTCAAGGACTTGGGGACAGTCCCTCCGATAAACCGGTCTCCTGTTCACTATTAAGGGAGAGGGATAAACATACTGTACAACAGGCAAAACCTCTTCCCCACCCCCCGGGGCGTCCCCGAAGAAGCAGGCCCGATAGTGACCATGAGGCCGTCGCTTCCGGGACCTGATTAAGGCTCCGGACCAGGACACTTACACACCAATATCCAACTACCAGCCTAGGATGACTAAAACATTCCCTGGCAACCTTTATTCCTAGTTGGAAATTTAACTTTTAATTTCATACATGCCTTTTATTCACAATCACCGGAGAACGCTTACGTCATCTAGCGGCGGAGGCTGAAAGTATGTCAGGAATCAATCACCCACCCTCTCAATGGGGGATAGCAGATTTTTAAACATTTATCGTAACATCACATAGAAAATTGGATCGAAAGTGGTCCTCCGGATTCAGAGCGAAGCCAGCGGCACTAGAGATCAGCCACCCAGGGAGTCCAAGTGATCCTCCACCTGGCCGGCAGGTAGCACCGCAGATCGAGGATGTACTGCCGGCATCCCATCGCATGAATGGGGACGAGGATGGTCTGTAGGAGGAGCGGGATCTTCATATCGGACGAGGCTATCCAGTACATGAGGGTCCGGCTCTTCTGCCGCATCGGGTCGGGACACAGCAACAGGCGGCTGCCTCTGCGGTTCTTAACCTGATTCGGCCACAGTAAAGAACAAATAAGCAAAAATATCGTTTCAAATGTTGGCGTGTATTATTCTGAAATTGCTGTTATTTCCTGAATAAAATTCTCTAAATTTATCATCAATGGCAATACTTTTGTAATTGCTAAAATGGCTTTAATTATTTAGCGGAGAAGTTCGGACTTCCTTGTCCGCCAGGAAAGAAATGGCGTATTATGCAAGAGTAAGACTGTACATTTGGAATGTTTCTTGAAGCTCATGTTTGAGAAGTTCTAAAGTAGAATGTCAAACTTCATTCAAAAAGCGAACTTTATATGTTGAAAGCGAAGGTTCTGTCATCAAAGCAATTTCAACAATACCTAACACTTTGCCAACTTCTCACGAACCTAACTCTCAATTTCATACACATCCTTCACACGTGAGTATGCTTTTCATGTCTCGAAGCATCATTTTTGAAACTTAGCCCGACTCTAAGAACGACGACGCTTGCGATCTGCCTGGTACGGTAATAAAAAAACAGGGACTTTAGGCAATACGTTACCAATTTAAGAAATTAAAATCGCTTCGACACAAGCTAGTAAGTTCCTAACATCAATGTTAAATTTCGTCCACACGAGACATTTTACAAATGCGCAGAATTGTTAGAGCGCCTCGAGGGTGGTCGAGACTGCCGGCGACAAGGCGGTCCCCAAAGGTCACCAATGGTCCCTAACAGCCAGGAAAATCTCTCATCACACCGGACCTTTCCATAATCTCATTACTTTTGTACTTTTGTAACTCGCCAGAAACACAGTGTTATATGCCATGAAAGTATGACCGCAACAACACCTTGAAGAATTTTCACTCAGCCACAAAGTCACATTGCCTCTTAGTCACTTAGACGTCTTCTCACCTGACAATCTTCTTGGTCTGCTCCAACCCCGGCAACTCGGTGCTGAACAACATGCTTGTCGCCCACCACGTGCCCGTTCATGAAGACCACGTCCCGCGTCACGGAGATTCCCAGCTCTCTCTTCTCGAACACCTGATGCGCCAGTACGCACCGGTCAGCTGGCCACCGCAGTCAAACGGAGAGCCAAAAGGTTTCAAGATGGAACAATTTTGATCCTTTTGACAAACCAAAAGGTTTGTCAAAAATCTATTTGGCACGAAATAGAATGGTTTAACGAGTCGTGGCCACGCATTAACAATAAATATAAATTATTTATTCAAACTCTATTTCGCTACCCCTTCCGTTCGATGCCATCGGGTTTTATCCCTAATATTGGGATCATAATAAAGGTAAAGGTACATTTTTTCAAAATTATTATCTTTGTCTAAGGAAATGGAATGAAGCAAGCAATTGCTTCAATGGCCGGTATAAACTGAAATTGAATTGAAATGCCAGTCGATGTAAATGACATCCAAATCGCTAAAACCAGTTTCGATTTCCCAAATAGTGATTGTACGATAGGTCTCTTGAATGACCTTGGTACGTTCCTCACTCGGCAAAATCCACAAACTGGAAGTGCTGACAGTACTCGTCCGTTTTGGCCCTTTGGAGCCCAGAAATAGAGAACATCTGAAACCCGACGATGAAAGCCGCCATTACCAAAATGTCCTATAGGAGAAACTATAGATTTTCCAACATGTTTTTCTTTTTTAAACGAAAAACCTATAGGATCCTATAGGGTCCATATTGGGTTGTATAGGACTCCTGACCTATAGGATTCGGGAAGGTTTCTTTGGGTTCCGAAACCCAGGCATAACAACGGGTCAATATTGCCACAGCTTTTTTTGTGTAAATCAATTATCGATTAGAGGTTTTCCCATGGTAGGGAAACTAGCGTTCCATGAACGTTCCTTGACTACCCGAATGTTCCAAATCGAAAGCAGTTGGAGTAACATTCCTTGAACGTTCCTCAAAGGCACAAAAGAAGTTCGAAGGATTTTTTGCTTTCTGCCAGTCATGCTACCGGAAGTAATTCCGAGAGCACTGAGTACTACTTCCGACTCCAATTACTTAAATGATCTCCTATCATCGTATTAGAAAGAGACACAGCTTTCAATCTTCAAACCGACGCGTTTTCCATACATAGTAGAGGATGAGTTCCGCAACAAGGGAAATCCCAATCGCCTGTTGACAAATTTTCAACGAGTTCTGTTCCTTAAGGTTAAAGTTAGACCTGTAGTTGTAATTCCGAACGCCCGAAATCAGGAAACTTTCGAACGCTCTAGAAGCAGGAATAATTTAAAGGTCGATTCGAAAGGACCGATCCGATCCGGCACTCGAATTCGCAATCTGAGATTCGGATTTTTGAAGCTCATCGGCCGTCGTGGGCCGTGCCGGTGGGCTTCGTGATTTTCGGGTGTGGGCCGTGACGTGCGACCACTTCGCCCGGGAAGGCTACGAGGTTATTCTTGTCACCAAAATTCACCCTTTTTGCGCGAAAATAGTGAGATGTTTCTTTAAATTCTGATCCAAGGTCACCAGGTCGTAAGCCTTTCATTGATGTTTCCAGCATGAAAATCCGTTCATCCACCTTGGAGGAGTCTCCTGAAATGACACGTGCGGATTAGCCTCTTATGTACGAGAGTTTTGTGACTGAGCAAGAGTTGATTCATGCATTCATTCAAACATTCATCTCTTCAAATATCAACTGTGCAGACGTTTCGGAATCGTCCGATCCGAATAAGACCCATCGGCGATCTTCTATTTGGAACATTTCCCGTATTCTCCCGACGGCACGGTTTTTTAAATTCACAAACTCGCCTCTCAGTCTTCCGTCGCGCTCATGCAGAACGCATCAGACTTCAAATTCATCGTTCCCTGTAATGAGTTAGGATATTGCCATTTGCAAAGAAATGGGAAATCCCGAAGGTTAAACCAAGAACGCAGCAAGGGCCAGAGGACGAAGGAAACAGCCGATAACAATCAGAAAAAGGATTGGACAAGCGATAAGTAATCGCAGAAAGAGTAAGACGCGGCAATTACCGCCACAACGTCTGGTAGGATGGGATTGCGCGTGACTCCAAAATATGAGGAATGCCACGAACCACCATAGGAGGTCTGCATTGGACCAACATGAAACATCGACGAACGGCGTGACTTTCCAGTACTTAGAAGAGGCCCGATCTATATTTGTACATGACTGTTCTGGTCCTGAACCGGAATCCTTTCGTTCCAGTCCTAGTTCACCTTCACCCTCATCGTAAGAATCGCATCGGCAAGGGGCGAGAAACGTAAGTAGAGCAAAGTGGGCCAGCAATGAAGATGAGACCAACTCCGCTTGAGGGTTTTTTTTCCTGCTTTCATTTTGTTGAAATTATCTCAAAGTTTTTGCTAAGTTTTGCTTCCCATTGACCGAGTTTGCACGGGAGGTTTCGCTAAATGCAAATCTCACTCATTCGAAGGTAGAGAAATTAACCTTCCGTTGCATATTTATGCCGATTGGCATCAAACCAAAATACAGTATTTAATGAATAGGGAATGAATTGCGTATTTTGCCAAACAATTCCCAATTGCACATAACCAATGACATCCACTAGCCAAATGGCATTGAACCACAAACCATCGCATTCCCCCGAAATATTTTATATTAAAACATTTATTTCAATATGTAAAACTAAATGACCATAGACAAGGCACCTTTTCCTCCACAATATCGCAACTCATGTAACTGGTTCAAACAGGAAAGTAGCCGATGTTTATGTGTACTATAACAACGAGCACGCACCGTCCAGCAAAAAAATTTCTTCAGCGCGCAACCCTTGGCCTTTCTCCTTTCCCACCACCAACCTTTACATTCCCCTAATGCAAGTCGAAAAAGTACTTTGACTCCGTCCTTGGACGAAACACACATGTTCTTGGTCTCGTGACATTACCGAAAAAAAGGCAACTTAATACTTTCTTGAGTAGTACTTGAAGCATTCAATATAGAAAGGGCGGAGATCCCCACTCATAGTCAATGACTTAGGGACAGTCCCTCCGATAAACCGGTCTCCTGATCACTTTTAAAGAGGAGGGATAAACATTCAACAGGCAAACCACCTTTCCAACCCCCTCACCCCCCCTCGGGGTGTCCTCGAATGGGCAGGCCCGATAGCAACGATAAGGCCGTCGCTTCCGGGACCTGATGTCCTTTAAGGCTCCTGACCAGGACACTTACACACCAATATCCAACTACCACCCTAGGGTCACTAAAAGGTTCCCAGTCAACTTTTCTTCCTAGTTGGAAATTTAACTTTTAATTTCATGAATGCCATTTATTCACAATCACCGAAGCTCGCTTGCGTCATCTAGCGGCGAAGGCTGAAAGTATATGTCAGGAATCAATCATCCTCCCTCTCACTGGGATAACAGGTTTTAACACTTTTATTGTAACATCACATAGAAAATTGGATCGAAAGTGGCCCTCCGGATTCAGAGCGAAGCCAGCGGCACTAGAGATCAACCACCCATGGAGTCCAAGTGCATCCTCCACCTGGCCTTCAGGTAGCGCCGCAGATCCAGGATGTACTGCCGGCATCCCATCGCGTAGACGGGGACAAGGATGCCCTTTGGGAGGAGCGGGATCTTCATGTCGGACGAGGCTATCCAGTGCATGAGGGTCCGGGTCGTCCGGCGCTCCGGATCGGGATGCAGCAACAGGCCGCTGCCTCTATGGACTGTTCCCCTAATTCGACCAATGTAGGGAACAAATTAGCACAAATATTTAACTTGTGTTTCAAATGTTGGCATTCATTATTTTCAAATTGCTGCTATTTCCTGAATGAAATGCTCTAAATTTCTCATCAGTGGCGATATTTTTGTGATTGCTAAAAGGCATTAATTAATTAGCAGAGGAGTTCGGACTTCCTTGTCCGCGAGGAGCGAAATCACGTATTACTGTTTGCAAGAGAAAGTCCGTAAATTCGGAATGTTTCTTAAAAGTTGTGCTAGAGAAGTTTTCAAGTAGAATTCCATACTTTATTCAAAATGCGAACTTCTTATGTTGAAAGAAAAAGTTCCATTTTCAAAGCAATTTCAACAATTCCCATGTTTCCAACTTCTCACGAGCCTAACTCTCAATATCATACCTACCCTGCACCGGTGCGTATGATTTTCATGTCTCGAAATTCTTTTTTGAAGGGTAGCGCATGGCAAAGAACGACGACGCTTGCGATCTGTCTGATACGATAATAATAAGAAACACTAACTTTAGCCAATAAGTTACCAATTTGAAAAACATAAATCGCATCAACACCAGTTAGTGAGTTCCTAAAATAATCATTAAATTTCGTACACCTTGGTCCCAAACCAATACGTTTTATAAGTGTGCAGAATTGTTAGGGTGTTTCGAGGGTGGTCGAGACAGTCGGCGACCAGGTGGTCACCAATGGTCTACAACAGACAATAAAATTCATCACCACACAAGGTCTTTCCATAGTCACATTATTTTTGTAACCTGAGAGTAACTCGTAGCGTTATTTGCCATTAAAGTGCGACCGCAGCAATGCTTGGAAGATTTGCCACTTTGCCACATGGTCACATAGCCTCATAGCCACTTAGACGTCTCCTCACCTGACAATCTTTTTGCTCGGCTCAAGCCCCGGCCACTCGGTGCTGAACATAACGCAGGTGCGCCTGTCGCCCTCCACGTGCCCGTGCATGAAGTAGACCACGTCCCGCGTCACGGAGATTCCCAGTGCTTTCTTCTCGAACACCTGATGCGCCAGTATGCACCGGTCAGCCGGCCACCGCTATCAACCGGAGGGCCAAAAGGTTTCAAGATGGAACAATTTTGATCCCGTGGTGTTAAATAAATATATATATTTTGCACGGATTTGAAGGGTTTAACGAGTCGTGGGCACAAATTAACGATACATGCAAAATATTTATTTCAAACTCTATTCCGTAACCGCTTCCGTTCGATGCCTTCGGGTTTCGTCCCTAATATTGAAATCATAATATAGATACGGATACACATTAAAAACAGAAATATAATAAATACTAAATATAAATGAAGAAAGAAGTAGTTGTTTTAACGGGAGTTATGAATTGAGGTTAAATTCCAATGCCAGTCAATGGAAATGACATCCAACCTGCAACAAAGGCTTCAGTTTTGCTAATGGTGATTGTGAAATAGTTCTCTCGAATTATTTTGGAATGTTCCTCACTCGGCAAAATCGAAAAACTGGAAGTGCTGCCAGTACTCGTCGATTCTGGTTCAAGTTGAATCAAGTTGGTTTGGTATTTTAACGAAATTGACGCTATTTTTTCTCTCTCTTCTGAAATGCTGTGTGCTACGACAGCGCGTGAACTCTCTTCATCGAGATGGCTTGATTGATGAAAGGTGAAGCAAACTGCAGTAATATGGAGTAGCAGATACTGCAGCAAAAAATTACGTCGTTAACTAGGTATTTTATCTCGTCCCTATATTAGCATCGCTACTTTAAGCCAATGCAAAGTTGACCTCATAATTTTAGGGGTGCACAGTTGTTAGTCCAACGACCAACTCCTTTAACTGCACGCCATGCTTTTGTGGAATGCGAAATTTCTAATTTGACTGCATCAAACGCGCAATTATGGAAGACAGCACAAGTGCCTTCCGATATGACAAACCCCTCAGCCTCCCTAGTGACAACTGGGACGAACCTGAACAACTTTGAAATCTTTGCAGTCGGAGGACCATTCGGCAGTGGCGTCCAGCGTGTGCTCTAGCAAGTCTTGGAACAGCCATTCGCTCTCGAAGTCCATTGTGGCCTGCAACGGAAACGAAAGTATGCGTAATGGAGATAACCTGCACTCCATTCAATTAACCATTTATTATTTATTTTCCATATATTTCCATATATTCGGAAATAGTTTTATTTGCAGGGCACCATGCGCGTGTAGAAGAGTCAAAAGGTTATAGGATATGTCATAGAGATTTCTCAGAGAATTTGCAATATTTTTTTCTGCGAGGCAGCGGCAAGATTAAGATAGAAATGTCCCTAGATTAACTCATGCAGGACAAAATTAAACGGGCATTTCCAAAAGAACTCGTTCGTTTGACTTTCTGTATCACCTTGTGCATATCCACGAGAGAATTCTAGCCAAAATACATTATTTAAATACGCAGCGAGGAGCTAAATAATTATTTGCTCGAACGGAAATTCCGTTTGCAAGAGATTAAAAAGTTACTCGAGAAAAATAAAAAAATGCACCTCTGTATAAAGGAAATAATCCTTCGTGAGGTGTAGTATATGTCTGAACTACCACTACAGAAGGAGACCCATTGAGAAGAGGTCTTGGGTCAGTAAGGAGAGGTACAACTTCGCCTTGAAGAGGTCGCGGGAGAGGGGAAGCACGGACGTAAAGCCCTCCATGAGCTGCGGGATATATCGGTTAGCGAATGTAGAATGCGCATACTTCCTGGATGTCTATTCGACTATGCGCTCGACGAGGATCGGGGTGAAATATTGACGTAATGAGTAAGGCGTCTCTGAGGAATGAAGGGACTTAAGAGCGGAGAGTTAAGTCAAGACCGAGTGAGCCTTCAAAAGTAACAGCATTATCTCTTGATTGCAAGGTCAAGGAAATGAATTATTACGTGAATCCCCACTCATCACCAACACGCTATTGCGTAATACGATCGAGTAACTTTACTGGCGTCCAAAAATACATTATTATGCAGTGAAACATAACAGGTTGCGTCACACCTAGTTTGATCACCCCAATCGCCATGTCCCATCTTCCTACGATTGCCTGGGTATATCTCTCACGTTTTTTTGGAGACGCTATGACATGCACACAGGAATGAACACGGTTTATAACGACTGAAATTGGTGGTTTACATATGATGGGAGAAAATTCTTATTTGCATATACTGGGACGAGCTGGGCGCTCAAAGGTGGCGAAAACATGCATATAATGTTCACTGGGATTTGACTCGTTCATCAAAAGGCAGATGTAACACCACGACAAGATCTTCTAAGTGGACGAGCACTATTTGTCTCGTAAAATTTCTTTTGAAGACTAGTATTTTTAACACTTTCGCTGCCAAGCCTTTATTTGGAGGCCGTTCCCCTGAGGCCAAAGTAATCCTCCTAATTCTGGTGTGCATGACACAAGCGATTCCGTGACAGGTGGGGATCCACTGGAGATGATGAAAGCATGGGGCGGCAATCGACAAGCCGTAATGACGAAACTGAGCTTGTCCGCAATGACTGTCGGCAATCAAACGGTACCTATGTCGTACCGTTGAATTTCTAACCAATCTTGGAGTGCCATTGCTCCCACATTCTTTGTATTCCTTGGACCTCGAACCTTACGACTTCAGGCTGATTCCAAAAATGAGGTGCCTTCGATGAATGGCTGCCGCTTCGACGACATAGGCGCTTGCCAATCAAATTGCGACCAACGCGTTGGACAAATTTGCCAAGAAAGGATTACAGTCTGTTCTAAGCTCTTTACAAACGAAAGGAAATGTGTGTTGCAAGTCAGGTTGAACTAGAGGGTTGACTGCAAAAAATTAAGCAACTTGAACATTTTTTTAAACAGATAAATTCTTCAGCGAAAATGTAAGGATACCTTGTTGAGGTTCTTCAAGAGCTGTTGAAGAACAGTATATGCACCCTTGCCCATCTACTCTTGAGTCATGACAGATTTAATCGAATTGGGCAAATTTTCTGAGTGAACAGGCATGTGACTGCCAATGGGGAGGTACGAATCTGCATTTGATTTTTGCCTAATGGATCAGTTCCTCTGGGACGATCCTCGCGAAAAAATTAATAGAACTTTGTCAAAAATGTGTACCCATCCATAAAAAGTTCATGCATCTGCATGCATTTTCCAGGATCCTCATGCAATTTGGATTCGTGCCTCGCAATGGCAGTCGCATGCCCTTTCTTTCCCATCTCAACAAAAAATGCCATAACTCATGAATGGGTATCCATAAATTCATATAATTTCACGAGCTGTAGGAAAACATTGTAGCCAAGGTTCCATTAAATTTTCAGACTAATCAATTACAAAATATGAATTCTATAGAAAACTTTCAAGTTACATTCTTTTCTTGTCATCCATGCATTCCAAAAGGGATCATTCTGAAACAGAGCGTCTGCACATAGTTTGCTCATATGAAAACCGGTTCTGGACCTTTTTGATATGTCCACGTACATACTGTACTATATATAAAGACTCCCGTAATATGCCCTATACGCAGAAATGAGGAAGAAGTAATTTCTACTTTACCCTTATACGGAGATATGCTTATATTGAATACATTGTAAAAAAGAAATGAGAAATGAAACACCATCAATTTGATTTAAAATTGACCTCATCAGAAGGCGACGATAAAATTCGTAAGATGAAAGGAAGAGGTCAATAGATCGTATCACGCAAAGCAATGCAAACCACCCGTCGGCAGGTCGCATGATCTGGTAGAAAGGACCTATACGAGCCGCCGGCGGCTCGTATAACCCAGGAGAAGAGAGAACGTACGACCCGCCGGAGGGTCGTATGGCAGCGAAGGTGTTAAGGTGAAAGATTATTACGCTTGATGTTCGTGGAGCACAGAAATATGATGTAATGGGGTTCACTGTTCCTGTTCACTGTTCCCTGACCGTCGCAAACGCAATTACAGAGAAAATGCAAAGCACACTAAGACGACCTCGACCGCTGAACATTCATCATGACATAAGCATATGCATCTCCGAAGGNTCATGCAGGACAAAATTAAACGGGCATTTCCAAAAGAACTCGTTCGTTTGACTTTCTGTATCACCTTGTGCATATCCACGAGAGAATTCTAGCCAAAATACATTATTTAAATACGCAGCGAGGAGCTAAATAATTATTTGCTCGAACGGAAATTCCGTTTGCAAGAGATTAAAAAGTTACTCGAGAAAAATAAAAAAATGCACCTCTGTATAAAGGAAATAATCCTTCGTCTCCACATCATATACAGACTTGATGGTGATGTCTTCCTCTGGGTAACTCTTCTCCAGAACCCAGTCATTCCTCTCCATGTTGAAGCGGAACTTCTCCAGCGCCCTCTCCCCTTCGTGCCTGCATTTCTCCTCCATGAGCTGCGGGATATATCGGTTAGCGAATGTAGAATGCGCATACTTCCTGGATGTCTATTCGACTATGCGCTCGACGAGGATCGGGGTGAAATATTGACGCAATGAGTAAGGCGTCTCTGAGGAATGAAGGGACTTAAGAGCGGAGAGTTAAGTCAAGACCGAGTGAGCCTTGAAAAGGAACAGCATTATCTCTTGATTGCAAGGTCAAGGAAATGAATTATTACGTGAATCCCCACTCATCCCCAACACGCTATTGCGTAATACGATCGAGTAACTATACTGGCGTCCAAAAATACGTTATTATGCAGTGAAACATAACAGGTTGCGTCACACCTAGTTTGATCACCCCAATCGCCATGTCCCATCTTCCTACGATTGCCTGGGTATATCTCTCACGTTTTTTTGGAGACGCTATGACATGCACACAGGAATGAACACGGTTTATAACGACTGAAATTGGTGGTTTACATATGATGGGAGAAAATTCTTATTTGCATATACTGGGACGAGCTGGGCGCTCAAAGGTGGCGAAAACATGCATATAATGTTCACTGGGATTTGACTCGTTCATCAAAAGG